CCTGCCCTGGAGCAACTGGGGAGAACACGAGGCAATGGCCCAGTGCCGAGGCCCATGCTGGCCAGCAAGAGCACTTGGCCAACAGCAGACGTGTGTCATGGCAGTCAGTGGGACCAGCACTATGGCGCCAACCCAGGAGAGCCTGGGAGCCTGCTTGGGTCCAAGGCCCCCCCGTACCGACCAAGGTGTTGAACAATGGGCAGTCTGGCTGGTGACGGAAGAGGGTCTGAGCGTGGTCCCCAGGCTGGAATGGCACTGATTCCGTGGACAAGGGGGCGGCTGGGCCAGCAACAGGTGATGCGAACAGCCCTCTACACACACATGAATCTCCCAGCCCCTGCTGCCCCAGGCCCAGGGCTCTCCTCACTTACCACCCCAGTGAGGAATGACCAGGAGGCTCAGAGCAGTGGGTGTGTCAGTCCCAAGGCCAGCACCCTCAGAGGAGGAAAAGGTTTCGCCCTCCCGAGGCCCCACCTAGAGGGCATGAGGCTACAGGCCCACTCCACACAGGGGCCAGTGGCAGCTGGATCCCAGCTCTAGTGCGAGCCCAGATCTTTGCACAGCCTGAACTGAGCTCACTGAAAGGCCTCCTCGTCTGAGAGCAACCGTCCCCATGATGCCTGCCTCAGGACAGTGGAGGGAGCCTGGCTGCTAGACAGGAGGCCCAGGGCTGCGTCTTGTATCTCTGGTCACTGCTTTCTGGGATGGGCCTGGCATCCCCGGCCTCAGAGGCTTGTCTGTGCATGAGGGTACGGCCATACACCATCCACTTCAAGGCAGCACGCCCAACTCTCCCTGACCACAGACCTCCTGCTCGGCCCTTTCCTCTACTTTGTTAACATGCTTAGTCCCTAGAGTTGCAACCGCATTCTACTCAGGCAACCTTTAAGGGAAGGACCAAGGGCAGTGAAGGACCAGCAGCGGCCTCCCTAGGTGGGTGTCCGGGCCCAGGAATCCTCTGGAAAGCTGCCTGTATCCCCAGCCGTACCCCACCCAAGTGTCATGCTTCAGGGGAAAGAGAGGGTTCTCACCGCTGAGGAAGAGCAAGGATGCCTTCCCGAGGCTCCTGGGAGACAAGGGCTGGCAGTGAAGGCTAAGGCACGGTGCTGGGGGACGGCAGGTCTTCCCAAAGAGGCCCTCTACTCAGAGGACTCAAAGAAGCACGCGAAGCCAACCATGGAATCTGCCATGAGAAAGGCTGTGATGCTAGAGGAGGAGGCCTGGGCTCCCAGGGCTGCAGGCTCATGCCCCGGCAGGGCTGCTGGTGGAACACACAGGGCGTGAGTGCACATCTCATGTGTTTCCTCACTTCTGCACATCTATACCACATTTCCACTTACAAAAGTGCCCTCTACCAATCACAGAAAAAACAGTTTGCGTGTTTCTCCGTAACTGCATCTCTGTGATGTTATCGGTATTGGGGGGAAATCCCTGGGGTCCTGCCCACGATGTAGTCTACTCTTCCCTCTGTCAGGGGGCAAAGGCCAGGTCCCACCCCAACTCCACAATTAGACAGCAGACCTGACCTCTACACAGGACAAGGCTGTCACAGAAAAGTGAAGGAAACCAGAGTTCCTGGGAAAGTCCAGGCACCTGCCGAGTCCTCAACCTCACATTCCATCTTAGTCCTATTACCACCCCAAGAGCAAATGCCCCTGTATTTAGGGTGGGTCCTGCTTGCAGGAACAGTGCTGCTCCTGGCAGAGAATAGGTGTCTTCCCAACTCAGCTAACCTAGGTCACCCTCACAGGGATCCAACTGGTTCCTACCAGCTCTTGCTCCAACAAGCCTTCCAATACTCCACTGGAAGCAGCTTCTCCCTCAGCCAGACACACCTTGGTACCTCTCTGCCCTAGCAATGTGGCTGCCAGCTCTACCTTACCCTCACTGGACAGGGGCTCGCTGGGGATCTGATCCACAGGGGTTCTCACACAGATCCGGTCTGGACAACAGGGAGGGAGGGGGAGAGGAAGGTCATCCCCCCCAGCACAGATTCTAAGATAGGGCTAGGAGGAGACCCCACCTCTCCAGGGTCTCTGCAGCAAGCCCGCATCCCAGCTATAGGTCTCACACCTGACCATCCTCCTACCCTGGGCCCAGGCGCAGGGCTGTGTGCTTGTCTACCGCCACCTGGTGGACGCAGGAGACCTCCAGCTCCACTCTAAGTGGACTGAGGCATCAGTGCAGGACTCCAAGGGAGCTGACCCCCCACCACTCTGAATCCATCACTACTCCCCCTCCCAGAGGGGAGCTGGTGCCTACCTGAGCTTTGCTCCACCCTTCTCTCCCAGGCTCAGGGAGCATCAGGGGCCCAGAGGCACTCGCTGCGAGGCCCACGCCTTCCATTCCAACAACCGAAACAGCCAGCAGAGCTGCCATCCAGAACACCAGGGCAGTGGTATCTCTAGCAACACAGACATGGAGCGAGTGTGGCCGGGGCCAGGAGAGGAAAGCATGTGAGGACAGCCTGCTTCTAGAGGGAGCCCAGGTGGGTTGGCAGCAGTAACCACAGAGGCTCAAAAGAGCAGTTCCTCAGCCGCGATGATGATGACTATAGAGAGTGGATCAGCAGGTGCTGGTGACAGCCTGTTATACTCCAGTTCCACTGGCCTGGACTCTTCCATCTACTCCCAATTCCCTCAAAACTCCAGGGGATGCACAAAAGGAAGAGTAATCGGCCCACCATCCGTCCCAGCAGGGGAAAGGAGGAGAAGGGCCCCGACTCTCACAGCCCACTAGCAGGGCGCCGGCTGAGGCCTCTGAGCTGCCTGGTGAGGAGCACATACAGTGCCTGTGTCCGGTCAACATGTCCTGAGGCCACTGACAGCCCTGGTTGCCTCAACACGCAAAACACCAGAACAAAGAGTGCTGGCTGTACCCACAAGGAGGCTAGCAATGAACAGATTAGAATGCAGATGGCAAGAAGACAGGAGAAGTCACTCAATGCACAAAATGCAGGGGACAGCAGCAGGTGTCAGAAAGACCACACCACGAATTGCTCTTCATTAACATTTCATATGGAGCAAATGGCTACTAATTCACTTAGACTTATGACGACTTTGCATAGTGCAGTTTGAGTGAATCTTTCCAATCAGGAATGAGGGTCTGTGCGCTGCACCTAGCAGTGGGCCCTGCACTCTTGGGACCACTGGACATAGAAAGGAAAGTCAGAATGGGAAAGAAGGATGGACACATCCTGCAGCCCAGACAGAAAGGCTGAGATTCAGAAGACCACATCAGGTGCAGGATCTGAGGGGTGACCTCCCTCACGCCTGAAGTTCACTCTTGCCAAGTGTGGCAGTGAGGGCTGTCTATACCGACAAGGACACAGCATGGCCCCCGGGGTGCCTGTGACCTCAGTGTAACCAAAAGGCAGCAAGGATGTGCAGGCACCTGGGCCCGAGCCTTCCCAGGCTTAGACCTGCCAGGCTTACCACACGCCATCACCAGTGCCCAAGCCTCTGCACCTGCATTCTGCTCACCCACTGAACCACCTGCCAAACACCTTCCCAGGTAAGGCATGATGAAACCCTCCCCCCATCTTCCCTGAGTCCACCAGCCCACTGCTGGATGGCTTCCTGAGGCCCCCATATGCTCTGTCTCCTAGCACATTACACAATTTGGAAATTTCTCTCCCACCCAGGAACTAAGCTTCAAAGGGACAGAGGCTCTGTCTGGTGTGCCCCGGCACAGGGCCTGGCCCACAAAATGCAGCCGGTGGCACTGGCTGGAGAGGAAATGCTGTTCCACCTACAAGACTGGCTCTCTACGGACAGATCCAGGTATCTCTGCAGCCAGGATGTCAGAGGTACCCCTCAAATACCAGCTGAATGGGACGAGGACACAGCTGCCCAGAAGGGAGCAACGGGCCATGTGGACACCTCAAGTCCCTACCATCAAGGCCCAGTACAGAGTGAGGAGCAAGACCAAAGAGTTCGCTGAGCCCAGCTGTACCATCAGAAGTCTTGGGCCTGGGGCCCTCTGTGAGCCAGCAGGGCAGTCAGCGGTCCAGATTTGGGACACAATGGACTAGAGATTACAACACGACCTCACATTGTCATGTACTGATTCAGTGACCTAGGCACGTTTCGTTTGGTGACATGAGCTCTATACCATCCATGGCACAGACTCCCCTCTATCTCTGTGCTGTGGGCGTGCCCACATCAGTGACATTAGGATCATGACAGCACCTACTGCGTGAGGATATAGTGAGAATGAAACTGAACAGTTAAGGGCTCGGGGCAGAGATGGGTGGCACGGCACCTGACGATGTGAGCCGATGCAGGCTGGGGGTCGTTCTTGCAGCCAGGAAGCAAGAAGACCCAGCCCCACAGGCAGATGCAGGGGTCCCACCACACCCAGGCAGGATCTGTTCCTGTAGATTCCTCCCCTCTTCTCTGCTTCGAAGAGAACACAGACTTTCCTTCCTCCACGCCCTGAGAGGCCCCACTACTATTTTTCATTAAGCAAGTAAGAGCTGAGAAGTTCAGAGTTGACCTAGTCACCCAGGGAGGGAAAACAGGAAACTGGTCATCTCTCACTAGCATGCAGCACCTGGGAACTGGGCCAGTGAGGCCCAAGATGCCATGGAAGCTAGCGATTCAAGTTGTTCTCTAAAACAGAACTGTTTCTCTGTCCACACTTAGCAGGAAGAGTGCACGGAGCTCCACAGCAGGCCCCAGGGAAAGCCAGAAGACACAGGCTGAGGTCACCTTTACTTGGAGGACCTGCAGCGCCACCAGGACAGGGACCCTGGCTGGAGGTCGGGGCAAGGGGAAATGCCTTGCCAGTAGCACAGCAAATGGGGCAAGGCTGGGTCTCTTACCCTGCTCTCCAGGCTTTCAGAAGCGCCTCCCCCAGCAGTGAAAACCAGGAACCCAGGACCACCTCTGAGAACCGAGAGACTCACTCTTCTCAGAATGCGTTGTTCTTCATGATGCCATCAAGAAAGGGACCCAGCTGGTGACATGCGCCCCACCGCATCTGCAGCACGCACTCACCTCCATCTCTGTGCTGTGGGCGTGCACCTTCTGCACCATGTCCTCGGCCTCCCGCATGCGCCGGGTCAGCTGGGGTGAGTACTCAGCTGGGGTTAGCTCGCTGTCATAGGAGCCCAGGATGGCCCGCATGCCGTCCCGCTCCTGTGGACAAAGAGGACAGCTGGTCAAAGCCTGGGGAGGGGCAAGGAGGACAAGAAGATGCTGGAGGCAGGCTCAGAAACTGAAGGCAAGAGTACGGTTGCAAGGGCGACTTCCTCACGAAGATTCAGGTCAACCCGCAGAGCCCACCACTCAAGAGCCTGCTGCTGTAAAGACAGCCCCAGACGTCAGCACTCGCAGTTCAGACCAAGCATAGCCAGGGACCAGTGAATGCCCCTGGCCCCGTCTTTGGTCTGGATGCCTGCCCTGATGGTGCCAGGCCTTGAACTGTGGTGGGTGTGGTTGCTCCACTGTGCACCTGCCATGAGGACACAGGCTGGGATGAAAGAGAGGCACATGCAAGGCATGGCCCCACAATGGGCAAAGGCCTCAATCTCCCATACCAGCCTCTATTCTTGGGACCATATGACTGCTCTTAGTACCAGTCAAACTCAAACTGGGCTCAGGAAAACAATAGTGGGGTCAGACCAGGAGGTGGGCTTGAATGCCCCCTTCCCAAGACTTCTGACCACCTCTGAGCAGTACCGCTTGGAGCAGGGACAGGTACCATCAGATCTGGTGAGTGAACAGAGATATGTCTGGAAAGAGGAACTGCAGCATTCCAGTGGGATGAAGAAACCCACTGCTCTGTTTAACGGTCCAGGGTTCTCGGAAAGGCCAGGGTCCCTGCCGAAACAGCTCAGGGCTCAGAGAGCTTATGTCCCCATGCCACCAGCCTTGCCCAGCACACTCTCTTCCTTTCTCAGGCAAAGACAAACATCATGTGAATGAAGCTCAGGCTCCCTGGGAAATCAGACTGATCGAACGGTGTCAGGACTAATCCTTGGAGCCTAACAGAAAGTGCTGCTCAGTGGTATCCTGCTAGAAATGCTGAGGAAGGCTGACCACGTAAGCCGGCAAGTCAGGGACCTGGGAGACAGGGGCAGCTTCCTCCTGAGCCAGGACTGAAACCTTCTTTTTTAAGAAGTTCGATAATCGATCACATGGTCCTGAAGGGAGAAAGCCTTCTGCTAAGCAGCAGGAAAGGCCTGTGAAGACTGAGGATGCCCCTGCGGTCAGGGGAGCTGCTCTGACGGCCTCAACCAAGAGGACAGTTGCCGCAGGGATGCACCGGCTTTCCTCTGGACTGCCCGCTGACAGCACTCCCTTCAGGACTAAGGTTCCCAGATGCAGGCCTGAAACCACAGGGCCCCCAGATTCTTCTGGCCCAGACACCAAGTCTGGGTGGAGAAACCACATCCCCAAGATTCCAGGCAAGGCTCAGTCCTTCTCCAACAGGCCTGGTACCTGTTGAAACTCACAGGAGCTACATTCAGAAGAAGTGGAGGCCTCCTGCAGAAGCCCAAGACTGCTAGAGCAGCTTCTCAGAGCATGTGCGCACAGGCACACCCTGAGGTCTCGCACCACACAGACTCAAATTTGGCAGGTCTGGATGGGCCCAAGAGTCTGCATTTCTAACAGGCACCTCCCAGACATCCCTGCTGATATTCTCAGTGGGCCCTGCCTGAGAGAGAACCCCATTCCTGGGGTCAGAGGTGAGGCTGGTAGGAGCAGCAGATCCTAGGAAGAAGGGGGTGGGTTTCTAGTGGGCCCAGGCTCAAAACCCAGCTCTGCCCTGAGGACAGCCGTCTCACCTCCCCAAGTCTCAGTCCCTTCATTAATAAGACAGGATAACAGAGATGACTAGAAAGACCAACACCATCACAGATAAAGCATCCAGCAAGCTAACCTGCAAACAACCAATGCTCGTAAAATGACAGCTAGAATCTCGTTAATGCTGGCAAATATTGGCCAGCTACGAGGTCCAGGAGATAGTCTCCACGAGTCCATGGGGACATGCCCCTTCCCAATACACATGTGCTAGGGAAGGAGATGGACGGGCCCCACCTACTCACTGTGCCCCTGGCCAGGTGACCACACCATCACTGGCTAAAAGGTTACATGATCAGCCCTGATAGAGACCTGATGACTCAATGGACTGGGGAGCAAGACCTCCACCCAAAGGTCCCTCTCCCCGTAGTGTCCCTGACATTTGCACTTGCACAAGCTGAGGCCCAACCATGCCTCTGGGAGAGATCAACCCGATAGCTCACACTCCAGCACTAACGCCATCCAGCACCACTGCCAGGCCCTTCCTCCACAGGTAAGAATGGCAGAAGGCACTGAGGTCTCAGGAACCCCCGACTCCCACATGAGCCAGCTTCTGGAGTCTCGAGTTGCTGTATCTGAGGCTCTCCTGCTCTCTCATGAGCCAGGGACACAGATGTCACCATGGCATGGACTTCATAATTAGCTGATGACAAAAAATCCAATAAGTAAGAAATTAAAGTTACAAATCCAAAAGGAACTGGTCACATATCCGAGGAAAATTTGTTTCCACAGAAAGGTTTATTGAGTGTCATAATTTTATTGAAATCCTATATCTTCCCATTGACATTTATCGTTTCAAGCTGGTTACCGGAGTTATCATTAGAGTGTGGAAGCCGCCAAGGCCGGGGTGGGGACTTTCTTCATAAACAAGCTGTAAGTGTCTCCTTTATTGGTCAATAAATCTCCGAGATGCAGCTCATCACCACATTCTCTCCCGGCACATCTCCAGGCAGGCCATGCTGGCGACGAACTATGAAAAAGTTTGTTGTTTGTACCTTCTCAAGGAATTGTTTTGTCATTAGCAGTGAAAGAGCAAGAGCCGTGCTAGTTTGATTTGATAATGACTTTTTAATGACTGACTCCACTTGTAGTGAAGTTCCTTCATTTCCACTTGAACAAATGCTGGCGACTAATCGCTAAACAAAAAAGCACCAGGCTGTGCTGACTGGCCTTCCAGACTTGCTCAGGAAGCACATGACAAAGTGATACAGCCCACCGAGCACTTCTCCTGGGTACAGAAAGGTCCTGTTTGTAAGCAATAAAACTCGCCTGTCACACAATTAACAGCAACTCAAAGACAGTGTTAACTGCATCACCTATGATGAAATCAACCAAGAACGAGGGCCTCAGCACAACTGGGGAAGCTGGGCCGGCCCATAGGGGAGTAAAGCAGTGGTGGAGGAAGCCCACCCCTGGGCTGCGGTGATCAGGCTGGATGGGGCTGGACTTGGCAGGAAGAGCCAGGGGCTGTCCCAGACCAGTGTCAGCCACGGAGCATAAGGCAGAAGCAAGTCCCTCTTTTGCTCTCTCTAAACCCCAGCCTCGGTGTTACAATCTGTGAATCCGCCTGACGGCTCTGCATGCCCTGACAGCGGGAGCATGTGTGATACAGTGCCAGTCACTGTGTGAGCGCCCCATGCACAGGGGCAAAGCCAGCCAGCTGGCCAGCACTCCAACCTCCACATCAGAGGTGACATTTGCCGACCCTACTCCACAGAGGCCTTGCAGAGATGGACCACTTGGTGCACAAGAAGAAGCCCACAGAGATGGGCTGGCATAGGGGTAGTTGCATTCCATAGTGGAGCTTCCTGGCTGGGCTGAGCATTGCTAGGGTGGCAGAGGGAGTCTCAGCATATCCTGAGGACCTGCACTTGGTGGGCCTGTCACTCCTAGTGTCTAGGCCATCAGCTTACAGATGGGGCTTCAACGCAATGCCTGGCTTGGGGACCAGGGTGGAGTTCACTTGCTAGAATGAGCAGCTGAAGGTCCAGCCTCAGGCCCCTCAGGGTAACCACAGGGTATGCAAGACCTGCTCACCCCGTCACAAAGACCCTGGAGCTCCACAATCCTCCCACGCTGGGATGTGGCTCTGGGTGAACAGGTAATGCTGCAGATAGGAGAACGATGCTGTGACGCTACCGGAAGAGCAAGAAGTCCCAGGCAGGCAACAACCAGGCCGAACTCAGAGAAGGCAGGGGCTTCTCCGTGTCTGTGGTGCATGTTTGTGCACGTATGCATGCAGCAAGTCTTCACGCAGTCAAGTCCTATACACGCTGCTCACCCAAAGGTGGCAGCCAGAGAGCAGAGGCGCACTGCCAGTGCTTCTGGCCCGACAAGCCTGGCCAATGTGGAGCCCCTCTGGTGAGCCCCGCCGGGGTGGGGGCCTCCCTAGAGACCTCAGTACAATCAACATGAGTGTCACACACCTCTAGCTACTCTGGAAACCGCTTCGTTTGTTTTGTCTTTCATTCATCCGTTTGCATGTTCACTAAGCCAGGTATGAGCACGGAGAGGGCCTGTGTGAAGCTTGGGGAAGGCAGGGTAAGACGAGGAGAGAAATGCACAAGCCTCAGGCGGAGGACCCAGAGCACCTTGCAGCCTGGAGCTCTGTGGAGCTTCCAGGTGCACACAGGCAGCCGCAGTGTGGCAAACGCAGCATCCACAGAGGGAAGGCACCGGACGTGGTCCCAGGAGCTGTGTGTGTGTGAGGAGGTGGATCCAGGCAGCCGGGTGGGGAGAGGTAGGGAAGGACACTCCAATCAGATGGAACAGCATGAGCAACACTCAGAGGACCCTTGTGGGAAAGCAAGAAAGTTAATGATCCTCATCCCCTCATCAGCAGTCCTCCAGGAGAGCTAATTACACTGAACTTTTAAGTGTAAAACCCCAAATACACTGATGAATCCCGTGGGGATGGAGAAATACATCTCCCAGTGGATGCTGAGAAAAACTACTGTGGAGGGCAAAGGCCCCCTGAGTAGTGGGGCTGAGACAGCTGGAGGAATCGGCCTGCCCTCCCACAGGAAAACGTCCAGAGAACAAGCCTCAGGCCTTGGCATGGGAAGGGGCAAAGGGACCAAGAGGTCAAGACAGAAGCCAGACCCCAAGCCTGGGAGGGCAAGAGGCCCACAGTGAGAGCGCCCATCACGAGGGCAGAGACTTCAAGGAGGCTGGTGGTACCAGAGAAGCTGCAGAGGCAGGGAAAGGCACACGAAGGGGAGGAGAGGCAGTCAGAGAAGGGGAGGCGGAGATGGACGAGGGAAGACGAGCACGGAGGAGGGGACGTGGGGCGCGGTGGAGGAGGAGAGATGAGATGGAGCAGAGGACACAGA